ATGCACCGCCGTGACGTTGAAGACGGCTGCGGTAGGCGCTGTTGCTTCCAAGAAACGATCCACAGCTTGTTTTACTTGGAAAGATCCAGTAATAAAAGCGTCACCACCATCAAACGCCACCACCACGTCTTCATCGCGCAGACCCTCATTATCAATGTAGTCGAGAATCCACAATGGTCTCTTCGCGTGATTGTATCGTTTTCCAAACCCTATCGATACCACAGACACTTCCGACAGAAGCGAACTCAACAGCATCCGACACCAGCCGGGAGATTTTCGTGTCTGAATAACAAGGAAGACAACCCGTGGTCTTTCTGACTCAGATTCGGCCTTAACAAACTGCACATTGTCTTTTACCAATGTTTCTGAAAGGATGAGAGAAGAATCTTTTTCCCAGTTGCTCGCAGCTATCAGCAATGCCAACACCAAAAAAAACTGCAGCAACAAAAACGTCCTTTTGAAATTTTGATTCATCAAAATAGAATAAATTACGCGACGACGCATTTAAAAAAAAAAATTTAAGGTGTTACGGTGTTCTACTGAAGAGGCAAACTTGGCAAAAAGGGAATTATAAACAAATAGTGTCAATGCCTTTTAAAAAATAAGATGTCCAAAAACTAAATAAGGAAAAAAAGGGAAAAAGGCAGCGACGCGACTACAGTGAAAGAAACGGCAATAAAATGAATTGCAGGCGCCCTCACGTCGACGCGCACAACACATCCGAGTGGGCCGGGAGCACAGACCGAACCGCTCGGAAACACACGCATCAAATCCGCAAAACAAATTCGCAGTGAATCGACAGGAACTCCCCGCCCAAAACAAATTTATAAAGTAGCGTTTTTCAAGGGGAATCCGCTTTTACGACAACGGCACGGACGCCTCGCAGGAACTTCTTGCAAATCTCCCTTCGCAGGTCCGCAGGAAAACGCAGCGGAATAAAAAAAGAGCGCAACGACGCAAAAACAATAATCCTCCTCACCGACCAGGTGGCAGGCCGCCCTCGCGCAAGTGGACAAAACACAACTTCACTCCGGTCTTGTGGTGGTGGTCGTCTCGCAACATTTTCTTCCTTCTCGTCGCAGTGCACATCCCCCTCCCAAAAATCATTTGTTCGAGCCATGCTCCTGCGGCCAAGCATCGCGCTGCTGGATCCCGCGGCACAGTCCTCGGCACAGAAGTGAGGGGAGGAAGAGGGACCGCAGAAGGTGCGAGCAAATCCGAATTCGGTGGCGGTCGCTGCAGTGAAGACTGACGTCCCACGCGGTGTCCCTTTTCTAGGTCCGGCCCTCACCGTGCCATGCTCTCAGCGTGCGGTGCGCCGGCCGCTCAAAACATCCACACGTGCTTGCGTCTCACCGTCGCTCCCAGCCCGTTCGTTGGCTGCATCAGGGATGCCGCCATCCAGAGACGGGCATAAGGACGTTGCATCCAACAAAACCTTCAGAGGCACCCGCTGGGCCAACGACGACCATCACTGCGGGATGTGTGGCCCTTCCGCCGCTCACCTCAAATCGCACTTCTACGCCTCCTCGAGCAGCAGCAGCAGCATAAATACACCGGTCCACTAGGGGCCGTCACCAGCCATTGCAGGAAGACCACTGTGCCCCAGTGCCATGAAACCCATATTGCATTGACGGGCCACTTCGGAAAATCCTGTCGCATCCTCCCCCATTATGCGGAAACACATCCGTCGCGCATGTGACCACCGCAGCCAAATGAATCCGGTCCAAACACCCTCCAAATCAAATTCCCCTTTCCTCAAGCCATTCCCTCATTCCATGCGCCCTGACCCTCATCCGCACGTGCCCACTCACACAAGCCGCAAAAGAATGGTGGTGGCCGCCCAACGCTCCGGAAACACATGCCCAGCACGCACGCGCATAACAAATGACATGCACAAGCGCACGGCACAACGGCGGAGAAGCGCACACCTAAAGGGATGCGGCCCTCCACAGCAGTCGCAGCCCACCGCGCGCATCACACCCGCAGGAAGAGTGACTCGCGGTGCGCGCTCCCTCTCTCCTCCTTCCCTTCATGCCCACGGAGGAAGCAGCAGCCACCCGCAACCGCCAGCACACGCCACAAAAGAAGCATCCAAATCCACTGCAATGTGCATCTTGTGCGTGCATGTGGTTGTGTGTGCCTGCAGACACACGAGGCAAAGAAGTGAAAACAGGAGCAGAGCATGTGAGGGGATGCACAAACAAAAATGTACAGCAGAAGTGCATGGCAGAAATAACAAGACTGCCCAAACTCATGATATTGCACTGCAGACCAAAGCAGCGGCAATTCATAGAAGATTTATTAAATTTTAAAAAAAAATCATCTTCGTTGCACACCTCACGCTCTGGAAAGAAAAAAGAAAACAAGAAAAGATAAAAAAAGAAAAAATAAAAAAGATAATAAAAGAAAAAAGAAAAAGAAAGTCGTCCACCAATACTGTTCCACACAAAAAAAAAAGAAAAAAAAAAAAGAAAAAAAAAAAGAAAAGAAAAACCCATCACACAAAAATTCACTTGTTACTGTGTGCGCCCACCAAACTGTTTGCATATTTTGCCTGCACATTAAAAATTAGATATTTAAATGTTTTTCAACCGTCCGACCCTCCATGTGTCCGCACATCGTTTATATTTCATGGGTCATCGGCGTGTTGCTGCTCCCCTCAGCCCTTTTATTGGTGCGTGAGTGCGGCCCGCAGAGCACAGTCACTCGTGTGTGGGGACTGAGAGAAGCACGCAGACATGACGGGAGTCGCGTCACTCCATCGGGAGAGTGAGCGCAGCAAAAAGAAAAAAAAAAAAGAAAAAACACGGCGGCAGGGCGTGGCTGTGTGTGTGGCGCTGCGGGTGTCTGCCAGCCCTGGCCGCAAGAAAACAAAACAGGAGGGAAAGAAATGTGTGCGCCGCCCCACAGGCCCTCGTCGCACGCCCACACGTCACGGCTCCCTCAGCGCGCCGTTCGTCGCGGCCCCTCCTCATGCGTGCAGCAGGCGAGGCGCACAGGGCCGTCGTCGTGAGCGTGTCGGTGGGTGTGCGAGTGGAGCGGTTGGGCGGGAAACACACGGCACCCCTCGCAGGAAGAGTGCGGAAGAAACAATTAAAGAGGGAAGAGTAGAAAAGAAAAATCACTTCCTTAGTGATTGCCCCAAAAAAGCAAAAAAAAAACAAAGAGAGAATAGGGGCGTAAAAAAAAAAAATGAAAACATTAAAACACGAAAACAAAAATTGATTCGGCAGGAATTCCATGTGCCATGCAGCACAAGAAGATCGGGGGCGTATGCATATTCCCTGCACAACAAAAAAGAAAACAAAAAAAGGAATTGTACCCTCCCACCAGCCCACACAACATCCCTCACATTCCATGCGGCATCCGGCCTGCTCCCCCACTCCTCGTTTTGTGCAGTCCGCCGGAAGCGCAGCAGTGACGCCGGCACCGCGAGTGGGCAACAAAAGGGAAACAAAAGTCGGAAACACGTCACTCACAACGGATTGTAGCAAACGACCATTAAAAAAAAAAGAAACTGAGTATTCGAAAAAACACCAAAAAAAACTGAAAAGGTGAAAAAAGATTTTTTAGAAAAGAAAAAAAACATTAAAGAAAAACATCAAAAACCGCAAGAAAAGCGGCACTTATTCTCCGTCGGGAGTCGCAATTCCACACTCGTTGCCTCACAATGCTGCCACAGCTCCACACAGCCCCAGAAGAAGAAGCATCGACACCCGAGACACGCACACACGCGCAGTACTGTCGACATTCCAATCATGCAGCATCAGTTTCGCGTCGTTGAGCAGGGCAAGGCGGTCCTCTTGGCTCGCGCCGCTCCCGGATTCGGAGTGGCTATTTTCTGGAACAGGGGCCTCGCTTTGTTTGGGCAGCAATCCCTCACTTCCAGCCAGAGACGCCATGCTCTCTTGTACTGGCTGCGCATCCCCATCTCCAGTGGTTTCCCTTGACTGCAGGGTTGTTGAGTTTGCTCCCTCCTCCGGCGCGGATTGTTCTTCCTCCCCCATCGGGCTTTCCACTTCCGTAGTGAAGAAATCCTCGCTGTGCGTTGTCTCAAATTCGCCTGCTCCTGCAACAGCGGCCGTAGGCGAATTGTTGTTATCGCCAGAGGCGGCCGGTGCTGCTTCCCTCTCACTGCCTGTTGGAGTGCTGGTATTGTTTCCCGCTTGGTGGTCGTGTTGCGCCACGGCAGCCTCGGCGTCTCCCTGTGGCAATGGCTTCGACTGAAGAGCAGCTGAGTCAGCATCCTGCGATTCGGTGCCACGGCCGGACCCAATACTCTCTGCAACAGGGACGGGCGCCTCTGGTGAACTTTGTCTCAAGAATTCCGGGCGTACCGTCCTGCCCCACACCCTCTCCTCGTCGTCCCATGAAACCACGGGAACGACACTGCCGCCGGTGGCGGATATCGTGCACA